CAACCCCCTGATCGGCCCTGCTCTGTGTGTGACAGGGTACGGAGCCCCAACCCCCCTGATGGGCCCTGCTCTGTGCGTGACAGGGGGTGGCGCCGCAACTTCCCTATCGACCCTTCCTTGAGTGTGACGGGGCGGTGCCCCAACCCCCCAATCGGCCCTACCCTGAGCGTCACTAGGGGTGGCATCGCAACCTCCCGATCCGCCCTGCTCTGTGCATGACAGGGGGCAACGCCCCAACTCCCCAATTGGCCCTGCTCTGAGCCCAACCAGGGGCTGCACCTAGGGATTGGACCTGCCCTCTGCCACCCGGGAGCGGGCCTAAGCCAGCAGGTCATTATCTCTTGAGGGGTCCCAGACTGCTAGAGGGCACAGGATGGGCTGAGGGACCCCCCCCCCCCACCTCACCGAGTGCACAAATTTTTGTGCACCGGGCCTCTAGTTTTTGATAATGCTATTGGAATGAAAATTATATTTGGATAACTTACCCTCATATATTGGTAATGACTTAGTCACTGCCACCCATATTCATTTATGTAGTTTTTTCGTTCATTATGGTTCCATCTACATGGAGTCTTGGAAGCTTCAAAATCATAAAGACTTTGGTTCTGATCGCAGGTCTATTACTCGCTAGGATTACTATGAAGTTTTTAGATGAATGGAATGTAAATCACATAGCCCATTAGCTGTTACGTGATAGGGACTCAGTAAATAATGGTTCTGTTACTAGTTTGTTATTATTTAAAAGGTTCAAAGAGAAAACACATAATACAACCTTATAACATTTAAAATAGCTAGGATATATTATCCAGTTTTGTTTTGGTAAATATTTGGTGACTGTGGGATGGGAATGAAAGCATTATCAACAATCTTAACTATACTTAGATACAAGTCATGGTTTACATACCACTGCCCATACTTTTTTGCTTTCTTTTTATGACCAAGCAATATTAGACTAGGATTACTATAAATAATTATAGTCATCTTCCTCATAGCAGTGAAGTTAATTTTGATTTTGAATGTGTTAAAATTTAGGGAGATTTTTACGTGGCTTATCTCACACAAAAGAGCAAGTGAAAATGTAACGAGGGCTGCTGAGGGATCATTTAGGGGTATAGTTATAGTGGTTTATGGCATACGTACTTTACACTATGTAGGCCAGATCTAACAGGCTGTTAACTAGTAGAGAGAAATTATAGGTGTTATTATATATAGCCAAGGACATGGTAAATAAATGAGAGAGCCTCATTACAGAATATGTTACCTCAGAGATCCCAAGTAAATAAAATATAATTTATTCAGATAGAACAGGTGAAAAAGGCTCTCACTTTGCTTGGCTTTGTATAAAAGAAACTACAGGCCTGGTGCACAAAAATTTGTGCACTCAGTGGGGTCCCTCAGCCCGGCCTGTGCCCTCTCGCAGTCTGGAACCCCTCAGGGGATGACCACTTGCTGGCTTAGGCACACTCCCCGGGGGAACGGGCCTAAGCTGGCAGACATCCCTCTGGCAGCCCGGGAGCCCTCGGGGGATGTCCACTTGCCAGTGGGGAGCAGGTTTAAGCTGCAGTCAAACATCCTTAGAACTGCCGAGGAGGCGGGAGAGGCTCCCACCACCACCACTGTACTGGCAGCCGTCAGCCTGGCTTGTGGCTGAGCAGAGCTCCCCCTGTGGGAGTGCACTGACCACCAGGGGGCAGCTCCTGCATTGAGCGTCTGCCCCCTGGTGGTCAGTGTGTGTCATAGTGACCAGTCATTCCCAGTCGTTCTGCTGTTAGGGTCAATTTGCATATTACCCTTTTATTATATAGGATAGAGGCCTGGTGCATGGGGCTGGCTGGTTTGCCCTGAAGGGTGTCCCGGATCAGGATGGGGGTCCTGCTGGGGTGCCTGGCCAGCCTGGGTGAGGGGCTGATAATAAAAAATATCTCCAAACATTGCCAAGTGCCCTGGTTTAGGCATTTGCAAATACAGAGTGCCCCTTGTTGAGAACTATTGCTTTTGAGATATTTCTAGCGGTGGTTGTAGCAGGGTTGTCTATAAAAGAGAGTGCCACCTTCTCACGCTCATCTCTAATCAATGCACTATATCAGGTTCTTAGAGCAACTAATATGGCCTTAGCTCACTCTTCTGCCCCATGTAATAATAACCAAATTAAATGCATGTTAACAAAGAAGCACATTACTCATAAAAAATATTAGTAAGAAATGTCCCTTGAGACTTCCTTCTCAGATGAGTAACTACATAAATGTAAGCATTATTGAGTGATCACCTTAGGGCTTCTGGTTTGAAGCTTAATTTTTTATGTGTGTGTCTTTTTCTTTCCCTAGGGCTTTACTGTGGTTGTGAGCTCAGTTCCGAATCAGAACCTAGAAATACAACCCTATGACCTTAGCATTGATATTTATAGCCGGTACATCTACTGGACTTGTGAGGCCACCAACGTCATTACTGTAACAAGACTAGATGGGAGATCAATTGGAGTGGTGCTAAAAGGCGAGCAAGACAGACCTCGAGCCATTGTGGTAAACCCAGAGAAAGGGTATGTTACTAAATACCATTAAGATGTCTTGGCATCTGAGACCCTCATCAGCCTTCCTTTTCAGTCTTTAGTTATTTATCTTCAAGTGTCCTGTGTTCCAGTGAAAAACTTGACATTCTCTATCTGTTGGCCCCTGCATTTCTTGCTTTCTCTGATTTTACTGCCTATAATTTTCTTTCTTAGTCACTATTGCTTTAATTCTAACTTATGCCTATACTTCCACGACCATTTGAACTGCAACATCATCCATGAAGTTCTCCTTGATTTACTCCCCCTCTAGCAAGATGTGATTTTTCCTCTCTCCCAAATGCCCAGCACTCTTTATATCTATGCCTCTTTAGTCTTATCTACTCCTTTCCGATTGACCTTGCAACTTTCGTTTTCAGTCTTACATTTCCTACTAGAATGTAGGTTTCTTTATGCCAAGAACTAATGTCTTCTTTCATTTAATACAGAGCTTTGCATTTAGTAAATAATAAATTTATGCATCTGAATAAATAATAAGGAATTCAGCAGGGAAAGTAGCTGACTTCAAAAGAGTTATAGAAAAAAGAATATAAATATAAGAAATGATTCTTGCCCTAACCGGTTTGGCTCAGTGGATAGAGCGTCGGCCTGCAGACTGAAAAGTCCCAGGTTCGATTCTGGTCAAGGGCATGTACCTTGGTTGTGAGCACATCCCCAGTAGGTGTGCAGGATGCATCTAATCAATGTTTCTCTCTCATCGATGTTTCTAACTCTCTATCCCTCTCCCTTCCTGTCTGTAAAAAAATCAATAAAGTATATTAAAAAAAAGAGATGATTCTTATGACCTCTTTTTAGTTATTAAATGGACTAATTAGGGAAGGATTTTAAAATTTTGTGTCCAGGTCTCTGGTTTTATTTTGTTTTATTTGTTTTATTTTATTGTAGTATTTCAAAAGTGTAGGTGTGCCTGTGCCCTAACACCTTGTTTTATTAATCCATAAAAGTTAGCTCCCACAGAAATTATTATGTGTACCCTTTGTTACTATTACTGAAAGTAGTAAAAATATCTCATGGCATTTTAAAAAATATTCTGAAACATTTCAAAATAAGATTTTATAATATTCTAGCTCTTGTTGTTGTAATCAGTAAGAATATTCTCATTTTGTATGATTTCTTATTCTGGTAAACTCATTGTTTCCTCCCTTTTCTTCAGGTATATGTATTTTACCAATCTTCAGGAAAGGTCTCCAAAAATTGAAAGAGCTGCTTTGGATGGAACAGAACGGGAGGTTCTATTTTTTAGTGGCTTAAGTAAACCAATTGCTTTAGCCCTTGATAGCAGATTGGGCAAGCTATTTTGGGCTGATTCAGATCTCCGGCGAATTGAAAGCAGTGATCTCTCAGGTACCCAAGAAATAATGTTTCCTTATTTTGATTTCAGTTATTGAGATGATTCATCAGCATTTGTATTTTTTTCCACTGTATTATTTTTGTGTACGTTTTCTTTATAGTTTTATTCACCAAAAGTAGTCAGCATCAAGTTGGTTGGGAAGCACTTTTTTCTTCAACCATCATATGATTACTCTCTCTTATCTAATAACTTGCCAATATTTTTCATTTGGGCTCTGTAAGTAATATATTTCTAATGCATCTCTTCTCCTTTCCTAGTTCTGCTCTAGTTTATGTTAACATTGTCTCTGTCCTGAATTCTGACATATGATTAGTCTACTCCCTGCTGATCCCCTGCCTCTGAAACTTATATGCTATTAGTGGCCCGGTGCACGGATTCATGCATGTTGAAAGGAAATTAATTAGAAAGTGGCATCACCCGAGAACTGCTGCTGCCAAGTCACTGCAGCTCCTGTGTTGAGCGTCTGACCCCTGGCGGTCAGTGCGCATCATACCTACCAGATAGTTGCTTAGCCTTTTATATATATATAGATTTCTAGATTAATTTTTTGAAGTATGGTTTCTAATGATCTCACTCCTGTGCTAAAAAAGAAATCTTTAGGGTAGTCTCATAGCCTGAAGGAAAAAAAGTCTAGTTCTACATTAAGTTGGTATTCACCTTTCATAAGTTCATCAGCATATTCAAATGATCTTTACATTCCTGGTGTTTTGCGACTAAATCAAATCATTTGTTTGTCTTTTTCATTTCTCTGCAGTCCTCTATCTACACTCATAGTTACGGGAAGCAGGCCTAAGCTGCAATCGGACATCCTTAGCGCTGCTGAGGAGGCGGGAGAGACTCCCACCACCACCGCTGTACTGGCAGCCGTCAGCCTGGCTCCCCCTGTGGGAGCGCACTGACCACCAGGGGGCAGCTCCTGCATTGAGCATCTGCCCCCTGGTGGTCACTGTGTGTCATAGTGACCAGTCATTCCCAGTTGTTCTGCTGTTAGGGTCAATTTGCATATTACCCTTTTATTATATAGGAGTGCCTGGCCAGCCTGGGTGAGGGGCTGATGGCTGTTTGCAGGCTGGCCACAGCCCCTTCAGTGTGGGGGTCCCCATTGGGTGCCTGGCTAGCCTGGGTGAGGGGCTGAGGGCTGTTTTCAAACTGGCCACACCCCCTTTAGGGTGGGGGTCCCCACTGGGGTGCCTGGTCAGCCTGGATGAGGGGCTGATGGCTGTTTTCAGGCTGCCTGCACCCCCTTTAGGGTGGGGGTCCCCACTGGGGTGCCTGGCCAGCCTGGATGAGGGGCTGATGGCTGTTTTCATGCTGCCCGCACCCCCTTCAGGATCGGGGTCCCCCCTGGGTGCCTGACCAGCCTGGATGAGGGGCCGAGGGCTGTTTTCAGGCTGCCCGCACCCGCTTCAGGGTGGGGGTCCCCACTCTGGTGCCTGGCCAGCCTGGATGAGGGGCTGAGGGCTGTTTTCAGGCTGGCCACACCCCCTTTAGGATGGGTTCAGATTATTACAGATGTTCCTCTTTTTTCCACCATATCTCCCCTCCACCAGGTTCCCACCCCACCCCATGCCCTTACCCCCTACCACTGTCCTCATCCATAGGTGTAAGATTTTTGTCCAGTCTCTTCCCACACCCCCCACACCTCCTTCCCCCCAAGAATTATCAGTCCATTCCCTTTCTATGCCCCTGCTTCTATTTTTTTTTTAACCTAAAACATTTTAAAACTTGAGCATAACATTTCAAGAACAAAAAGTGTTTTAAGTCCCAATTTCAATGTCCAAGAGTTCTGAGTCCAAGTTTCAATGTCCGACAGTTCCTTATGTGTAGGTGTCAGCAATGATATTTCAGTTCTGGATGGTGGACAAATGGTGGCAATGCAGGTCCGACCCTCTCTGGTTTGATCCTGGGCAACCTGCAGCGACGCACAGCTGCTGACTGCTAGCATGGCAAAGTGACGTCAGCGTCCTTCATCTCTGGATTGTTTTTCCTCTTGTCTTCATGGCTGGAGCATTCCTGATAATTCCGAGAGAGAGAGAATTTAAAACACTGGCCCCACCAGCTTGAAGGGTTGTACTCATGCATGTGGGTGCATGCTTTCATACAACTGCAGGGAGAGTTGTATCTCCCTCTCTCTGTAAATATACACATACAGACATTTACAGTATAATATATATATATATGTATATATATTATCTAATAAAAGAGAAACATGCAAATTGACCATACCTCCACTACACCCACAAGCCATGCCCACAAGCCACACCCACAAGCCAATCAGGAGCGAGTATGCAAATAAACCCAAACAAGATGGCGGTGGCCACAGAGCTGGAGCAAACAGGAGGCTTGGGTTGCCCCTGGTGATGAAGGAAGCCAAGCTTCCCACCTGCCCTGGCCGGCTGTGGGCTCCGCTGAAGGCTACAAAGTTTCAATTATAGAAGATAAATAAATCCCAGATACCTGCTTCCAGCAGCTGTGACCTCCAGCCTGCAAGCAGCCATCAGCCCCTCACCCAGGTTGGCCACACCCCCAAGTGGGGACCCTCATACTGAAGGGGGTGTGGCCAGCCTGCAAACAGCCCTCAGCCCCTCACCCAGGCTGGCCAGGCACCCCAGCGGTGACCCCCACCCTAAAGGGTGTGTGGCCAGCTTGGAAACAACCCTCAGCCCCTCACCCAGGCTGACCACGCCCCCCCCTGCGGGGACCCCCACCCTGAAGGGGGAGTGGCCAGCCTGCAAACCACCACAGGCCCCTCGCCCAGGCCGCCCCACGCCCAAAGGGAACCCCCACCCTGATCTGGCACACCCTTCAGGGCAAGCCAGCCAACCCCCACCCACTCACCAGGCTTCTATCTATACTAATAAAAGGGTAATATGCTAATTAGACCTGGAGACCTTCCAGGAAACCTTCTGACATTCTTCTGGACAAAACCATGGTGGAGGGGCCAAGGTAGAGGCGGTTAGAGGCCAAGAGGGGAGGGCAGTTCTGGATGATCAGGTTGGTGGGGGGCGGGGCTGTTGGGGGTAAGCAGGCCAGCACAGGAGCGAGTTGGAAGCAAGCACGCCATCAGTGGGGGTCAGCTGGAGGTGATCAGGACAGTGGGGGGGAGCAGTTTGGAGTGAGCAGGCCAGCAGGGTGGCAGTGGGGGGCGAGCAGACCAGTGGGGAGGGAAGGTGGGGGCGAGCAAGCCAGCAGGGGGGGCAGTTGTGGGTGATCAGGATGGCCGGGGGGGCATTTGGGGGCAAGCAGGCCGGTGGCGGGGGGTAGTTGGGAGTGAGCAGGCCAGCAGACAGAGTGGTTAGGGGCACTCAGACAGGCAGGCAGGCAGGTGAGCGGTTAGGAGCCAGCAGTCCCGGATTGCGAGAGGGATGTCCGACGGCTGGTTTAGGCCCGATCCCTGTAAGCCAGCAGTAGGACAGCCTTCCAACGGTCCCAGACTGGAGAGGGTACAGGCCGAGCTGAGGAATACCCCCTCCCTCCTGCACGAAATTCGAGGGAGGCAAATAATCATAGAATAACCCTTACCGCCCCAGTGTCTGTGTCCATTGGTTATGCTTATATGCATGTATGCAAGTCCTGTGGTTGATCTCTAACACACACACACACACACACACCCCGCCTTCTCTCTGAGGTTGGATGGTCTGTTCAGTGTTACTTTGTCTCTGTATCTATTTTTGTTCATCAATTTATGTTGTTCATTATATCCCACATATGAGTGAGATCATGTGATATTTATCTTTCTTCAACTGGCTTCTTTCACTTAGCATAATGCTCTCCAATTCCATCCATGCTGTTGCAAATGGTAAAAATTCCTTTTTTATAGCAGCGTAGTATTCCATTGTGTAAATATACCACAGTTTTTTAATCCACTCATCTGCTGATGGACACTTAGGCTGTTTCCAAATCTTAGCTATTGTAAATTGTGCTGCTATGAACTATCATTTGAATTTTTATGTTTGAATACATTTGTAATTTTTTTAACTAAAATAATATTCTGTCTTTTCAGATTCAAATGCTTCTGTTTCATTTGCCTTCTATGATTATTAACAATTATGCATACATTTTGCCTGTGTGTGCACATTTACCTAGCATAATCTATTCTTTCCCTCATCTAATCACCTATATCTCTTATATCAACTTTAATTTGTATATTGCTATTTATATCAATGTTTTGACTCTTTTACTAACATTAAGAGTTTTTCCCCCTCTCCTTTTCTCTAGTTCTCTTCATTTATGATGCTTATTTTTTGTTATAAGAGTAACACATTCATTACAGTTTAGAAAATATTAAAAAAGGAAAAACCCATAAAATTATTATTTGACCCTTTTTGGTCCAACGTGGAGGCTGACTTGATGGTCCAACGTGGAGGCTGACTTGACAGACCAGGCGCTAGGAGCAGGTCCAACGTCGAGCTGACGTCTGGAGAGACAGATAACTTCAACATTCAATCCCGTCAATTAATTTGGACCAGATTGTTTGAATTCCAAAAATAAAATTGGACCGCAAAGTGTTAACACTTTAATGAATTAACTTCCATTTTTTTCTGTGAATTTTTTCCCACCCTTAATTATGAAATGGTTCCAGCCTGGAGTAGGCACAGAGTTACTACCATTCAACTTTGTCAAATCTTAGTGTTCAGCCATATTTGCTTTTGAACCTCCCTTCCTCTTTCTATCTTGAAATAAAACATTAGAGAGAATTTTGAAGCCTTTGTGTGTCTCCCCAAATTTTTTCCAAAGAAAGAATTTCTAGAAATCAGTAATAGGAAAATGAGCAAAACCTAAGAATAGTAATTCAGACAAGAAACATGAAGGACCAATAAGTTAACCTCAATATCAAACGGGGAAATGCAAATTTTATTAATAATGAAATATACTTCTAAAACTATTGGACTGGTGATAATTTAGATGTCTGATAATACCAAATACTGGAGTGGCAATTATCATTATACTTTTGGTGAGGGTTTTAAATTGATGCAGTCACTTTGGAGAGCAATTTGGATATATCTATTCAAATTGAATCTATATATACCAGATTACATAGCAATTCCACTACTGTGTTAAGGCCATAGAGACCTGTTCAGACATGTGCACAAAATATTAACTGCAATGCTGCTATTAATGGCAAAATGTTGGAAATAGTAATACTAGTATTTTGACTGGGTTTGCTTTGGATTTATAAATCAATTTAGAGAGAATTATTATCTTTATAATATTAGTTTTCCAACCCATGAACATTATTATATCCCTCCATTTATTTGGAATTTTAATTTCTGTCAATGTTTATTATTGTGTTCTGTGTAGAGGTCTTGCCCATTTTTCATTAGAATTATTATTTTGGAATCTGATGCTTTTGAATGCTAGTGATAAAGCGTATTTTAAATTTTTAAGATTTTATTTTCTGATTATAGCTGTATTATGCAAATACAGTTTATCTGTCCGCCTCAGTATATTGAGCTTGTTTCCAGACTCCTTGCTATAACTAAAGGATTTTCTACATTACAGAAACATTTGTCTACAAATAATGAGTTTTATTTCTTCTTTTCTAGTCTTTTTTCCTTGTTGCCATATATTCTACTGGCTGGGATCCCCAATACAATGTTGATTGTAATAATAGAAGCCTTGGGATTTTTGTTTACTTGATTTGGGGAGAAGCATTTAATACTTTGTGACTAAGTATTATGTTCGCTAAGGTTTTTCTGTAAATATGTACGTATGTGTGTATATATATGTGTGTATCCTATCTAATAAAAGAGAAACATGGTAATTAGCCGTACCTCCGCTACCCTTCCCATTGGCTAATCAGGGCGATATGCAAATTAACTGCCAGCCAAGATAGCGCCCGGCAGCCA